ATATATATATATATGTGTGTGTGTGTGTGTGTGTGTAAAATATACATTTTAATCACCTTTTTCTTTTTTCGCATTTCACTTAAATAGTTTTGCGGTGACAAATTCATTTTTAGAATTAGGAATATTCCATGTATTTTCTCAATTAATATGTGATGAAAAACAATAGTTGATTCAGCTTGATAATGTTAGATAACTTTGATAGAAAGGTATGCAGCCTAATGGATTACAATCAACCAAAAATCAAAAATCATATTTACACAACTATGAAAGCTCAGTATCGGGCCCGATACCGATACCAGTATCGGTATCGGTGCATCCCTAGATAAAATTGTTTCAAATATCTCTGATTTGTACACTATATTATATCTAACTTCATTATTTATCTTATATTATATTTATTTATTTATTTTGGTTCTTTTGTTTTATTTTTTTGCCAACAAGGCTATATCTCTGACCTCGTAGGAATTTTTTTTTTTTTTTGAAAGGTACAGCTTCTGTTCTGTCCATAGAAACAAAGCGCAATATTGAATTCAAATAACTGACTTCTCAATCGCTGATGAAGTGCGTTCTCCAAGAATGCAGATGTGTAGCATCAGTACATTCTTGGAAATACTACATGTGCCATGGTGGCATTGTCCTTTTATCTGTATTTTCTTAATAATAACAGTAACAGTAATTTCAACAACCATAAATTGTACTGAGGTGTTTAAACAAGTAAATAATTAAGTGTAATTTAACTACAGGGAATTTTCTTGATACCTGTAGTAATTAAACAAGAAAAAAGCTGCCCAACTCATAGTTCTCTCCATGTCTTCCCCCCACACCCCCGTTTTCATATCTTATTCATACTCATTTGATGTTCTGAATTCTGCATACTGTGTAGTTGGGAAGTATGCATATTCAGATGCAGAGAGTGTCTTTGGGTGTGCTTTGATTCATGTGAAGCATATATCATATGCTCTTGCGTGTAGAGATGAAATCGAGATGTAGATCGTACATCAAACTGGGAGCAATGAACCACTGATTACCATTTAAATAATTTTTCAAATATAATCCCATCATAAAGGGTTTATTTCACTGCAAGCATTCAAGGACCTGGAAGAGACCAGTTCAAACCTCTAGAATTGCCTTTAGAGTAAGTTATAATACCATCTGGATAATATTGTCATCTACCATGCATGATTACGTAAATCATTAATTAAAATGATTATGATAATTGGGTTATTAACATGCTTGATTGCCCTTGTCTGATGCAAATTATGGTAAAAGAAAAAGACTTAGAAGAGAGATTGGGGGCAATACAAAGAGAGATGAAATTATATATGAGCCAAAGGGAAGGAATGGGCGAGTAACGGATGGGGGGATGAAATGTAAAAAAGAAAAAGAAAAAAAGAGGCAGGAAACACTGATTGAGAGAGTGCTGAGAATAAACACCCTGCTCGATATCTATAGCTGTCAATCAATAGTGCTCAGCTGTTGCGTAACCTTTCTACACTACTTTGACTTAGCAAACAGAGAGGACATGTTTCTGCTGTTTGTAATCAGCTGAGGGCTGTTGTGTCGGCTTTAAGTGATGACATGACCATTGTGAACCTAAACATAACCTTTGAACATAAAAAACAATCAGTATTGTATGGTTTCTTATTGTGTCTAATTTTAAAGCATTGTCTGAGGATGTGAAGCTTGACAGGCACACTATAGAGATATAGTAATTGTATGAGATGGTAATACCATGATTACCATATTTGTACAGTATACTAAGGTATTTCCCTGGTTCTTCATGATACAAATTTCAACATAGTATCGCCATGTCCACACAAGCATAGTGTTCCCATGGTGTATGTGCAAAACACCACGGTGTAATGATGTTATCACATGGGAATACCATGGTACATTAATTTTAGTCTCATGGTTTTATCATCTGATACCTGGTACTCCAAGGTACGTCTATGAACTGCTACTACATGTCCAAATTCCAAAAGATATGGTTATACTATGGTACTTTCTGGTTGTTTGTTTGTTTGTTTGTTTGTTTGTTTTTGCAAATGTAATATTCTAATACTACAAAATATTACCATGGGGCCATGTCAATGATACTAGCATTGTACATATCCATAATACCATAGTGATACTACAGTACATTTTGTTACCTTTGTGTAAGTGTTCCATACACATGAAAAGTAAGCCACTATACAGACCGGCTTAAAGGGTGGGTACCCCTTACCTCAGAATTGGCCTGCTCTTTTATAGCACTGCAACACTTGTTAAATCATCAGGGCCTGTTTATCATGCAAAACCACCCTCCCACCAGTGCTGGACAACAGACGCAGCTGAATGGGTTCAATCAATAGAGCTCAGGGAGAAATGTCAAACAAGCCATAACACTGCACAGCATCACTGTTTCGTCACGTGTCTCCCCATACACTCTGGAGTAGGAGGGAGAGGAAAATGAGACACTGGTTTCCTGCTTTGATGGAGAGCTTTTAAAGTCAACGTCAAATTGAAATAGACAGTTGTATCTTCCTAATACACGTATGCACAATTCATTAGTGCAGTGGTTCTCAATTCCAGTCTTCGTGTACCACCGCTCTGCACATTTTGTATCTCTTATCACTTCAGATGTTTGTTCTATTCGACCAAAAGGGCCTTGCAAAGTGGGCATCACAGGATATTCCGCCATGATTCCAGTTCGAAGGGAGCGTATATGTTACATTCAAAGGGCATTAAAGTGTGCGAGATGTGAATTTAAATTGTATTTATTTACAGAGGTATATTAGGTCACACTTCTCTAACAAGTTTCTTCTGTGTGTGAAGATGCTGCAGGCAGTGGCATAGCGCAAATCTGTGAATGAATGTTCCGAAGTAAAGTAAACTACCACGGATTTCCCGTGCTCAGAGAGTAGGGAGCAATGAACACTGTGTAGGGACCATGTCAATCGGAACACAGTACATGCATGGAGCTCTCTTCTAACGAGCCGGTTAACTGAATCAGGTGTGTTAAATAAGAGAGACATGCAAAATATGCAGAGCGGTGGTACGCGAGGACCGGAACTGAGAGAACCACTGCCTTAGTGCATGTTATTCCAAAGAAAAAAACATTTGTGTTTGTAATCTTGCATAGATGTGACTTGCTCTGTTTCCATTGTTTCTTTTTGTTTGGTGTTACTTAAGCCTTGTGTGCTGAAGTACTTTGTCCATTCAAGTCTAGCTTCATTATGCCATAGAAACACACTTTGTTTTCACATTGTAGTAGATAAGCCTCCCAGTCTAATTTGTGATTGTGTGTTGCATGACGGTGAATGTGTTACTGGCTTCAAATAAGTCTTGAGTGCAGAGTGCCGGTTCATTATTAATGATGCTCACAATGTCTGTTCCATCTCGCCCTACAGGGGGTCCACTTACATATTCCAAACACACACAAACTATGAGTGCTATCCACTGACACTGATGCCCAATCACATGTACAGTGATATTTTACAAAGCTATTGAATGCACTGAACTAGCCTTTCATTTTGAAGTGTCTTGTCAGAGTTTATATGACTTCTTTCCATTGAGCCGTTTCCAAAACAGAAATAACCTTAATGACGCATGTGTTTATTTTTCAGGTTCTTCCTGCAGTCCTGGAGACTCACTCTCAGAGGGAAATGATTCCACATGAATTGCATGGACCGCTCTCCCACAGCAGGTGTGACTTCCATTGCTTAAGACTGAAATCTGTGTCCATCCGACCTTAGGCACAGAATACATCCCCTCACACCACCACTCTCCTCTCTAACCCATCCCCATCTTTGCTCCGAGCCAGTCAGTGGGACGGCACACTCTGTTAGCAATACAAACAGAGACCAAGAGGGAGAGGAAAAGAGCCAAAAAAGACAGGGAAGAAACATCCAGAAAGAGTGGTACAAGATTCTCAGACACCATGAAGTCAAACCAGGAGCGGAGCAATGAATGCCTGCCCCCAAAGAAGCGTGAAATCCCAGCAAGCACTCTGCCCTCAGAGGTGAGGCCCATGGTGATGGCGCCTGCCAATGAGAGCCATCGTTCAGGGAACCTGGCCTGGCTTGCCAGTCTGGCAAGCGGACATGACAGAGGGCGGCAGCACACCAGCACCTCCTCAGAGCCCGATGGGCCTCAGTACAAACCATTGTTAGCCACAGCTGAGAGCACACATCCCTCGTCCATGCACTTAACCAGATCTCCCACTGCAGTGACCACCATACCTGCAGTGTACACGTCACCCCTCTCTCAGCATGCTGGCACCATCCAGTACACACCCCTGGCTCATAATCTTCACTTCATCAGCTCTCCGTACCCTGCACCATATGCTGGCTACATCTCACCTCTAGTTCCCCCTTTGGCTGCCACCAGTACCATACAACGTGAGGCTTATTCCAGCATCTACAGTTCTCCTGCATCCAAAATTGACCAGCACCACCAATTGGGTCATCCTACAGGGCTGGTCACAACTGACAACACCTCTTTGCCCCACTCCACCCAATACATCCAAATTGCTGGTTCTCCTCTAAGCGTATCTCCTCGGACTGCTCCGTCCCCCCATGCTCACTTGCCTCTACACTTACACTCTCACCACACTCTCCCCATCAGTGGCCACTCGCCAGTCTTAATTCAGTACACAGATGGACCTTTACCCAAGAGGGAGGAGACAAGGCCCAGGGAGGTGCTGAATGGAGAGCTAGAGAAGGACAGACGCTTTGGTCCATCTCCCGAATCTAGTGCAGGGAAGCAGGGCAGCACTGCCAAAGGGGGTTCCTCTACTCAACAGCACCAGATCCACCAGCAGCAGAGCCCACGTCACTATGAGGCTCGGCATGTGGTGCTCCCTGCCGAATATACGCAGGACAGCGCAACCATGCGGACCTCGTTGGTGCTGGTACCCAACAGTCATAGCTCCGGTGGTACACCTGACAAGCTGCCTCCCCTAACATCCCACTCTGAGAAAGGAGGGATTTGCGCAGGCAAACCTGTGTCCCGTAGTTCCTCCTCCTCAGCCTCCCTCCCATTTCCTCCTCCCCCTCCACCTGTGGACAGTTTGAAGGGGGTGGCTACCACACTGTCTCCTCATGCAGTCATCCAGACCACACATAACACCACAGAGTCACTCTCCCTGGGCCTCCCCTCCACCAATTTCTACTCTGCCCAGCACCCCATCATTGGTTACATTGCCGGCACAGGGCACCAGCAACCTCTCAGCTATCACACCAGCCTACCCCAGCACCTGGTCATCCCTGGAACTCAACCGGTCATCATCCCAGTGAGTGGAACTGAAGCTACTGCTACATCGACCACACCACTCTTGCCTGCAGCACTACCCCATACTTTCGTCACCTCAACGGCCCCAAAAGTAGAGACATACCCTCACCCTGCCGCAGATGTGTTTCAAGCCCAGTTGCATCTGCCTGTGGTTCCGGCCCCTGCTGGCCTGCTGACGACTCCACCGCCACCCTCAGCCCCTTCACTGCCCCCTTACTTCACCAAGGGCTCCATCATCCAGTTGGCAGATGGGGAATTGAAGCGGGTGGAGGACCTGAAGACAGAGGATTTCATTCAGAGTGCTGAGATCAGCAATGAGCTGAAGATTGACTCCAGCACTGTAGAGCGCATCGACAGCAGTCATACACCTAACTTTGCTATTATACAGTTTGCTGTAGGAGAGCATCACTCACAGGTGGGATAATATGTTCTTGCTTCACTCTTGATGTAGAATGTTTAATGACATTTCTTGTACAGTGCTGGTTGTTTCACGCCACTTGTAGTATGAGTATTTCAATGGTTTGTCTAATTTTCATAAGTATGTATATACTGCATAATTTTTTAGTGTTTATTATTGGCTATATACAGTACATATTTTAAGGTTATCATTTACATTAGAATACCAGTTACAGTCAGTTAAATCCTGCTATCTAAAGAGGATTACAGTGGAAATAACTTGGCAAATTTTGTCCCTCAAAGGTAGTTTGATAATATGCAAATGGAATCCAAAGATGACTAATTTAATTTCATATTTAACAATGCTCATTGGCAAAAAAATATTTGCGCCTTTTACAAATGCCCAGGGATCTTTCTTTACTTTGTTACATCTTTCATGCATTTTCATCATCAGTTTGAATAACCATATGGTAGTCATTATATATATATTTTAAAAGCTGTGAGGGTGTGACTGTCCTCCTATATGAACTCCACCTGCACTCAATCAGTGTAACTAGTACTAGATGTGGGGTAAATTGGCAGCTGAAATAATCTCCCTGTTCCATAATCCCTCCCCTGGCTGTCCCTATGGCATCTTTGTTTAGTTTGTGTGGGATTCACTGGCAGAATTGAGTCATTCCTTATTTCTGCTTCCTTCTGTTGTACTGTGAGTGGGCTGTATAAAAAATCTGCTTCATTTGTCTGGGATTTGAGATGGGGCCACCCACTTGAAAGCAGTTCTAAAGTCTGTCATTTTGAGAGGCGCTGATTAACAGATGCTATTTAGCAAAGGCATTCATTCATATCATCAGGCATTTGTGCATGACTTCTACTGTATGTATTTAATGTCCTCTCTTTTTGCCTTCCTTTTTCTCTCACAGGTCAGCGTGGAGGTGCTAGTAGAGTATCCTTTCTTCGTGTTCGGCCAGGGCTGGTCATCATGTTGTCCAGAACGGACAACCCAGCTGCTCGAGTTGCCATGCACCAAGCTTTCAGTAGGCGACGTCTGCATCTCCCTCACCCTGAAGAACCTGAGGAATGGCTCCATCAAGAAGAGCCAGGGGCAAGCCTTGGATGCGCCTACCCTCGGTCCACCCCTTAAATCACCCAAAGCACTCTCAAGCGACGTGCGAGGGGGTGTTCGGCACACAGAAAAGGAAAATGGACTTGGGCAGTGTGGAGATCAGGGAGGAGGAGGCGGTCAAGGCAATAGAGAGAATGGAGAACTGAGGTTTGGCGAAAGAGACATCTGCAAAGCACCACCGGTCACTGAATCAGAGTCTGGCAGCAAACCCACAGGCCGCAAAAGGAGGTGGTCTGCCCCTGAGGGCCGCAAAGTAGAAAATCCTGAAGGAGAGCCTCCTTTAACGTTCCCCAAGCCTTCCTTCATCCCTCAGGAGGTTAAAATCAGTATCGAAGGCAGATCAAATATTGGAAAGTGAATGCGCATTGGACTGTCATATTGTAAAAGCAAAATTTGCCCTCAGAATGTTTTAGGTTCTTTTTTTTTTCTTTTTTAATTTGAGTTCTGATTTCATTTTCTATCCAGATTACATTACCTAAAGGCTAAATTACTCAGTATGTACATTATCACTTCTAACATTGTAATAGATGCATTCAATATTACAAAGGCAACTGGTGCAATTCATTTGATTGGTCAAATTCAGGGTGGATGTAGTTCAAGGTGGGAAGGTCGTGAGATAGCTGAGCACTGCATGATATCCTGAAGGCTTCAGTATACACAATCAGTCACAGCTAACAAGGCTAAGACGTCTCGCTAGTCTCTCACCTACAACATCCTCTACTTTTTTTTTTAGCACCGACAAACCTGGTTTATCTACACCTAGTGGCAATTAAAACATTCACCTGCTGAGTGAACCTGAAAATGTTAGTAAGGGAAGATGAACAACTGGTGTGAATAACATTGCTAATGGTGGCAGAATGGAAATCACTCCTCCACTGGTTGCAGGAGTTTACATGATGTCAGCCATCTTGTTTAACTGTGACTAAAAAAAACTAAAACTCCAAATCAGTGCTAACAATGTAGAGCAGTATCGTCAGCGCAGTTAGACTAGCTTAGATTATATTAACATTTATTGAAATGCAAGAAGAGGTTTCCAAATACTAAGGTACAGGCCAAGAAAGATGATGTCATTGAGCGATGCCATTTGCTCCTCAGAAAGACGAAACTATCATTTAAAACAGGGAAGAAGAACAAGTCTATTTTTATATATACAACTGTCTAACCTTTTATTTGATTATTTTTGTAGTTTTGCATGTTTTAATTTTCCGTCTCATTTTTCATGATGGGTAGTTTTATTGTTAATTTTTTTTTTTTTTTCTGTGATGAATGTGTAAACCTTGCAATCTGGGGTAATTTTTTTACATAGATGGGTTCTTGTCTATATATATATATATATATATATATATGCATGGATGTATCTTGATGCATACAAACAACAATGAGGACATCAACCAGTCCCTTGTTTTTAGTACAGTCTCACCTGTTTTTTTGTTCAAACAAGAGAAAGTAGATTTTTTTTCAAAAGAAAGAGAGTGAAAGTTGTCTGAGAAGGATGAGATGAGTGTTGTCTTGAAGCACTTACCTAGCACACCTGTCATGCTCACTAGCTGATAGTAGTTTCAATCAAATGAGTCAAATTATTATTATTATATAAATTATTACTATCATTTTTATTATTATTATTGCTACTACTATTTTCAACACAGTACTGTATGCTGTATCATGAATTGGATGTTGTATGGCACTCTGTGGTATGGTGATGGCTCACAAGGGTCACTGTGAAGGGATGAATGTAACAAGTGATAAAAGAAAACAATGAGATCTAAAAGGACTGCTTTAAAGGAAGCACTTTTTTCATTGTGTATGATTGGCTTAGCCTTCTCAAGCAATCTGACAGCTTGAGTAAAGACGGGCACAAGAGGCCATGGCCCGGAAACAACTGCCATTTAAGTTATTTAAAGCAAAAAGAGTTGTATGAAAGTGGGAATGCAGGTGGAATTAAGTACAGAGACTGTTTATATATTTACGAGAGATATGAGAGACAAAGTGAAAGTGAGAAACTCTGGCTACAGAAATCTTCGGAGGATCGAAGGGTGTCATATAACAGTTTGTTAGCGATGTATGTGGTCGTGCACGCATGCGAGTCCGTGTGCGTTTGCGCACGGGCTTAAACACACATAAACACGTACACGGTTATGGTAATTTCAATCATGTTGAATTATGTCATGTATTTTTTGTACATTAACATGTATAGAACTGCATATGCTATATCTATCTTACTGTATGAGAGCGCAAGACTACATGAGCACGTTTTTAGTCCCGTCCCCCAAGACGCTGACTCATCGAACGTATGTGAAAGCAGTCATGTAGTAATTTCAGTGATCTGTAGTATATTTGTGAGCGTGCGTGCGTGAGTGTGTGTTTGTGTGCGTGCAAGTGTATATGTGTGTGTGTGTGTACATACCACACATATTATAAATAGATATTTAAGTTCTACTTAAAAGAATATTGCAATTTGCACATTTGGAGAGATAGTAACATGATTTATTTTGTTTTCTGCCAGCACAGGACAGGGCCGAAAACCGAATTTTTACTGAAATGTAGCAGTTTCTTGACAAGTTTGCTGGTTAGCAGGTCAGTTGGGTTCATTTTCATTAGGAAAATCAGGAAGCCCCTATTCAGGGGGTTTGAATCACACACAAACACATAGAAGTAGGATTGTGCATTGTGCTGCGTTAAGGTGTTCGCTTCATAGGGGTGGATGAAGTCATAGCCTGTAGCCTGCATAGTTGTTAAGTCCTTTCAGTGGCCACCCTCAAGTTAGCTTGGGTAGGTGAAGATCTGGCAGGAGGATGGGTGGTAGTACAGAATAAAAGATGCATGGATGGATTTAATGAGTGGTGGAGGGTTGGTGGGTGAATGCACCCCATATACAATTTGAAAATGCTTTATTTTTTTTTATAATAAAACAGGGTTTCTCAGATCAACACCACAACCGTGCATTTTTTTTTTTTTTCCATTTGACATGACATTTTCCATCTGTCCCCTCAAAGTGTGCATGTTTGAGTTTTACTTGTGTGGATGTATCTGCTTTAACCAATCAAACTTGATATTTTCGTTGTGTTCAACATTTATTTTGGGCCAAAAGGTAGAAATAAGATGTGATATTGTTTGTCCATTGAACCACCCCAACAACACGACTGTCAATGGCGAATCAGTCTCGCATTTGTTTTGTTTCTCTGATCTTTCGCTGCTGTCATTCTCTTCATGTAATGATCAGTGTTTTTGATGTCGCTCATTGCTTCGATCATTTTACAGTCTGCCTCCTTCTGGTTGCACAGTGCGGTTCCACGTACACACGAGAAGCATTCCAAACAACGGCACGTAGCAATAACACTTAGTCTCTAGTGCTGAACCAAAAAAATAAAAATACAGAACCGGACATCAACGCCAGACCTTCTGTTCGACCTCAGCAAGCTGTTTTTATCCTCTTTAGGTTGATTTGCGGTTTGCACAGCCAGCCCTCAGTAACTTCAGGGGAAAATGTAAATTCATATGCAGTGACAGAGTCTGTCCCCTCCTAGCCGATTAAAATAGGAAAAATATGCAATATGAAAATAATTGAAGACAAAATGTGTTTTACTGAGAAACAAGATTTGGTTTTTAAAAAGCCTTTTTCCAAAAGGTACATCTGGAAAAAGGGGGGTCGTCTTATATTCGGGGCCAATACGGTAAATAGGGTCGATATTGATTCACCTTGACTTGAAGTGTCACTTGTTATGTACCAGGAGACAAGCAAGTTTAAATGTTCAATTCCAGGTATGTTTTTTTTTTTTTTTTTTTTGCATTTGGACTTGAAGACGTTCTGACATTAATCTGAGCGTCCATGTCACTGATTGCTTCTCAAATATTGAGGAATAAGTCCAATTGCAGATGAGTTAAACATGCTTTGACGTGCAATGACCTGAATGAATGAAACATCACAGATGTTCTGTGCTGTCACATTTGATGGTCATCACAAACAAAGAGAATAAAAGATGCACATGGTACAGCTGGTTTATTGTGCTGATAGTGATAGTCTCTTTTGACCTCCAGTGCTGAGAGACGAGAAAAATAAGAGAACATTAAAAGTGGCGGCCACTGTTTTGACACCTATTTTTTTAGCATCAATGTCATTTAAAAACTTAAACCCCACTGATGATGTTCTAAACTCTTCTTCTGTTTAAGTATGACATGTTACACTCGTAACAGTTCGTGCCATCTGTATATAGCACTGTTTCTGTGGTTTCCATTCATATACCTTCTCCCTTAAATTGTATTGTTTGTTTAAAACCATCTGTAGCCTGTGGGTTTTATGATTTTATTTTGCTGTTTGTGAGTAAATATGGCAAATATTGTGTTTTCACTTTGTAGTGAACCCCTGATATATAATTTTTTGCACATTTTTGCTTTTTTTCCCCCCCATCAGTGTGTTTCATTCTCTTTGGCAGAGGGTGAGTTTGCTGTCACTGACGTTATGACAACATCATTTGCTTTTCTGTTAAAGGTCAAAATCTTTCCTTGGGCTTACTCAGGGATGAGAAATAGGTGTGCTACACCATATGAGGCCTTCCTAACACACTCTGTCGTAACCGTCTGTATCGGTCTGTTTGTCCGCATCACAAGCTGTCTGTCCGTCTGCCTGTTGTCCCTCTGACGTCACAAGCCCAGGTCCTCACACATGCAAGATACTGAAAAAAGACTGAGAAATGATTCATCGACCTCATCAAAGTGGGGACCACTTTTATAGAAACAAACTAAAACAAAATGCACATTTTTTTTGTCGTTTATAGAATAGATAGACTTGATAATACTGTTTCAGCACTTTCTAATCCCAAGGAAGATAGGGTGAGATTTTGTTGTCATCGCAGTTTCTCCCTCTCCGATACGAATTCCCTCCGTCTCGGCCCGTTCCTGGGTCCAACGGGCTGAGACGACGAGGACAGAGAGTTGAAATAAAGTTGGAATGGTCCTCTACGAACCTGAGATGACTTTACTTTTTGTTGTACTGATGTGTGCTCGAACACCATCGTTCGGTTTTAGTTGTTTTATTTTCATGTTGGTTCTATATTTGACCTTGCTTCATGTACTTTGGACTTTGTACTTTTGCTTCGGTCTCCTCTGTAGCACTCTTTTATCATGGAAGGAGACAAGAGAAAGTGTTTTAATGAATGTTTTTAAGAGTTTTCGAGCGGCTCTGTGACAGCTCTCTCTCTCATAAGAGGAGCACCGCTGGCAATTTCCTTGTTTTTACTTTAATTTCTCTGGCACAAATGACAAAAAAGACGAATGTTGGATTGTGAGTTTCAGCCGTTTGAAAAATAAATCAAAAGATTTTCTTTTCTTTTATTGTGGCTCATTGAAAAAAAAAACTTTTATTTTTAGCTTGCTTTTCTTTGAAATCAGTTGTAAAATCAGTCAGGACTTCTCTGTTCAACTTGACTGTTGTTTGACATCTTGTCAATTGTCCAAACCGCTGGATTAATAACCTCAGGCTGAGAATCTTCTACAGGCCCACATTATGGTTTTGTTTCACCCTAACTAACTGATGTATGGGCTGCTTGATATGGGTATTGTAACTAGTCTTATTGTTAATTCTATAGTTGATATATGAGCATTTAGCTAGATCAGTGCTGGATAGTGAAAACAGTGCACACTCCTTAAAAAAGGAGGCCGGCCCTCGTCTCTTACATCGTTTTGGTGAGCTGGTAAACTGACAAACGCTTCCTCAGAGAGAGAGGTACATCCTGTGTTCTGTCACCCTCATCCAGCTGGGCGCAGGAAAGAGACTCGTGCAACCATCCTCTGATGAATCCTGAGGAGTATTTGTCACTGTTAGGTTGAACTGGACACTCAACCCTGGTTAACCTCTGAGAACTAAACGCCAGGGACGCACTGACCATCACAGGCCTGAACCGACTTGTGTACAGATGCTGTTTTCACATCCCCGATGTCACCTTCACGCATAGCAATCGACAGCCTCGTAACGTGTGTATTTATCCTTCAGAATTTGTACAACTACAATCTCGAGATAACATATCTTCAAGAAAAAAGGTCATTTTGTAATTCTGGATTTCTTGCCAATGAATGCTTAATAAGATGTCTCTGTAAAATTGTACGCTGTAAAATCTTTTTAGGCCTAATTTTAAATTGTCAGTCATTTCCAAGTATGTTTTGTGTAAATTGGATTCGGAATGAACAGTGAAGGTAGTTTCTCAGCACTCTGAATAATCGCCTCGAGATTTTAAAGCTGAGGTCAGATACACAAACTATTAGCCGGAGGTGAATAACACTATGTACTCCTTGTCAGGTGAACAGCGTTTGGTTATCATTAAATGTGCACGCATGTCCAGCCACCTTTTTTTTTTTTTTTCCCTTTTGAGAATGAAATGTTAAAGGAACACTCCACTATTTTTGAAAATAGGCTCATTTTCCAACTCTCCCAACTTTAAACAGTTGAGATTTACCGTTTTCAAATCCATTCAGCCGATCTCCGGGTCTGGCGTTAGCACTTTTAGCTTAGCTTAGTTACATCGTGTACTAAGAAAACTCTTGAAACTCTAGAAACTCTTTGGTCATTTTTGAGCGAGATGCTAACGGTCTAATCAGATTCAATGATCTATGCTAAGCTACAGCTAAAAGTGCTACCGCCAGACCCGGAGATCGGCTGAATGGATTTGAAAACGGTAAAACTCAACTGTTTAATTCTAGGGGAGTTGCAAAATGAGCCTATTTTCAAAAATAGGGGAGTGTTCCTTTAAGATGTATTTTGTGATATACAGGAAGCCATTGGTCATTCCTCAGGAAGAAGTGGGTTCAGATATAGCAGTAATACCCCAGGCTTGCTGGACTAGAGGTGTTACAGGTCTTGTCATAAAGAGATTTGAAGTCTTCCATTGGAAGGGAAATGGAAGCTGTGTCTAGTTTCTTTTTTCACTTGCCATTGGGCAGAAAGATCCATGATCATAAAACCTCCGGATTGGACCTTTACCTACTGTTTGACTCGGTAGAGGCAGGTTGCCATATTGTCAGTGTTGTTGTTTTCTCCATAGCTTCAGTGCTATGGATTTACTGGACCTATAGTATGTAAGACACCACGCAGAAATGTTTAGCGAGACTGTTAAAGAAAAATTGAATGTTGCATCCAGTCCTGAGGTTCTGTTTTCTTGGAATTGTATCAGAGGAGTCTGGCCAGTAGCAAGAGATGGTTGTTGGGAGAGGAAGTAGTGTTTTGCACCTTATTTAGAAAGGAAACTACATATAAAAAATATAAATCCCTAGGTAGGAAATCATTGTGAAAGGCAATTTTTTTTTCTTTTGGTTCATTTTATTTCCATATGCGTGCATACTCTGTAAGTTGTGCAAAAATATTGTACTTGCACTAGCTTTTTTTTTTAAAGAAAACGAATATAAAAAAATTTGAATTGAAATTCTATTTTCTAATTGTGGTGTGTCTATTTGTAGGATACACTCACGTTGTTTCTTGGATTTTTTTGTCCCTTTCTTTGATGGTGCTTGCCGGTTTTCTAGTTAGAACTTATTTCATTATTCTGAACAAAACAATATTTGATTCAGGTTGTGAACAAATTTGTTTAAAAAAGAAATTGTCTGTATACCAGTACAAGTTTATTGTTGCAGTATACACGTACTAATAAAAATTACAGTGCCAATTGCAAACTGCACCCTTTTTGGAGTTTGTGAATTGTGAGAATGGGATTTCAAAGGTCAGATACAGTGGGCATATTTCACAGACAGACATGAAGCTATACTCGCAAGCAATTGCACACAGAGGTATTCCACAGGCTTCTTTGGCTTCAGTGCACCTAGTTAATGGAGTGTGGGTGTTGGAGGAGGTGGCGGCCTTGAGTATTCGCTTCTGTTCCGGGCTGGATCATTCATTTGAAAAAGTGTAGATGGAAGACATTGAGATTTTATCAGACACCATCAAACCCACACTTGACTGTGGGAAACAGTTATGACCGATACAATAAGCCAGACTGATTCAGCGCTGTCTGCTTGTCTGTACTTGTGTTTACCATTTCGTTTTAACCACAGTACAGTAATTTAAAAAGAAGGTAAGTTGAGTATAAAAGTCTGAATATACACATTTAATGAAAAAATATGAATTACACTATCATGCTTGAGCCAATGGGATTCGCTTGGGTTCCTAATAAAGTGCAACAGTCGAGTTCCGGGAGTAAAAATCCAATTCCTTTTTAACAATTTATAAACCATTAAAGACAGACCTACTGTGAGCTATGAGGTGGTTAATCGATATTATATGTTTTTGTGGATGTATGGTCACCCTACTTTTATTCAAACTATCAGCCTGCATTATTTCAACTTACTATTTTTTAATAATTCAGAAAAAACAAAAAACTTTAGCCCCCACCCACTCCCATGAAGCAATGCAAATCAGTCTCCCTATGCTCTCAAACTAAAATATTTGTATGAATAATATGCATATTTTACAATAAACATAAAGTGTTGTTTCTGTATACATAATCAACATCTTTAAATCAATAGTTTATATTTCTTTTTTTCTTTTTTTATTGCATTTGCAATGCTTCATGTGATTGTATTTCTTTCCCCTCAGTAAAACCGTTCTCAGTCTTGTACCTTTGCCTTTTTTTTTTCATCTGATTTTCAAGTACTTTTTTACTTCAAATCAAAGTTTGTAATGTTGTGATTGACATCGTAGCTGGTTGGTTTGGTTCATGTTTTATAACTCTTTAACAAAGAGTTTTAAAAAAATCCTTATGTGAAAAATTAATGGTAAAAATACTTTCGGAACCAAGTCCATTATCTCTCGTTTCATACAAACTCAATTGATGCCATCTCGCTTTTCAGTTATCAACTGTAGTAAAATAGCCTATTACCTGAGAGGACATCAGTATTTCTATTACCGTAGTGTATAGGCTGATTGTTTTGTTTGTTGTAATGGACCATTTTTTCTTAGCATATTATAGTTCCATACAGTCAGCCAGTCATTATTGCAAAATAATAATAATAATAAAGCAATTTAAGGCATAAAAAAACACATTTCTTGTTCAGATGTTTATTCCTCCATATGTAATGTTTTACTCGTAATACATTTAATAAAGTATTTTCTATCTCATCTAAACTGCACAAGGCATGTTGAAGAAATGAGGTGCAGCAGTTTTCACATTCCTCTGGTCTGATATGACATCCCACCACACCCTCTGTACAATCACAAAGGAAGCAGGCCAGCAGAAATTGTCCACAACAGTACACATTGCACCACTCGCTGCTCAAATCAACTCAAAGTTACAACACGCAGGGACTAGATCTTAATGTGGCAGAGAATTTTCTCTGCTGGTGTGTAAATTCTCCACTAACATGCAAGCTGCCCAAGATGTCCCTGATGGTGTTTTCCACGTCACCTTTGTAGGGCACCTGGACCGTCCTGCCCTCTGATGCCCTGAAATCACATAAACAGATCTACATTAGATGCCCTGCAGTATCACAGTTATTTTTTGTAGCAAATGCACTTAAATCCCAAAATGTATAGCCTTAAATGTGCCCTATAAATGTATGAAAACATCCTCACCTGTACTCTGCTACCCCTCCGACATACTTCTTCATGGCAGTGTCTGAACTCATCCCATAAAACAGCTTGAACTTTTTGCCATCTTTCTCAATGAGTTCACCAGCACATTGATCATGTCCTGCTAACATTCCTCCCAACATGACAAAATCTGCCCCAGCACCTAACGTAAAATTCATTATTAGATACATTAATACTTTATACCTAGTTCGACAACAATACATATAATAGCATTTTTTAAATGGTACAGGAACAGTAAAATTATATATCATTAGAGATGTTGGAAACATAAAAAAAAATGAATTCACCAAAAGCTTTAGCAACATCTCCAGGGCAACTGCAGCCTCCGTCCTAGAAGACAAAAAAAAAAAAAAGCTTTACTACAAACTCCTATAGTTACATAAAGTCATATAAGATACAGCACAGTTGCAAAGCATTCCTATGGCTCATATGGTAAAGTATGGTGATAGCGATGCATACTGTAGCTCATGGATTCAAATCCCAGAAAATGCATGAGTTGATAGAAATGTGAAAACAAAACAACAACAAAAACTGTTAAACTTGTTAAAGACAAGTTAATTGGTTTTCAGTTATAAATAAATTAACTGTTATGTCTTTCTCCAGAAAGTTTCTCCAAGATTGCTCCCAGAACTGTTAATGACAAACTTGTGAATGACAAACAAGTTCAGGTGTCGCATTAAAGAAATACACTATTGGAGACTGTTTTGTTTAAAAAGAAAAAAAAAAGGGATGACGTATTTTTGTATGCCAAATCCCAGAAATGACTAAGCATTTTAGCACTTCCGGTTCCATCGTTCCAAAATCAAAGCTTACTGGTGGATTTTATTTCTTCAGTCTTTTTATTTCTAGAGATTGTATTTAGGCTTCAAAATTAATAAGTTGTGTTCATTTGTGAAGATTATCATGATGAACAAAACAAACTTTTCATAAACTTTTGTTGGTCACAGAAATTAGTTTTTGCAAAAATTAAAAAGCCACTGGAAAAATTATATTTGGTTCTTGTGGAGGGAACCAGGGTGATGCTAATTTACAGGCTAGCCTATGAAAACACGTCATCGCTGCAACACTATTCTAACAAAAAAATATGCATGAACTAAAAGAACTAAGTCTGGTAACTGGTTAAGTGTTAAAGGGGTCATATGATGCGATTTCAATTTTTCCTTTCTCTTTGGAAATTTGAAGCTCACCGGCCTCCTCTCACTCAGCCCGCCGGCCGTTCCTCACTGGCCGTTCCTCACTCTAGACCGCCGCCGCGTGTGACGCTGTGTTTCGTTGTGAAAGGGAAGAACGCTCTGGATAGCTGGCCAATCAGAGCACACCTCGCTTTTTCAGATCGATGAGCTTTGTAAAAATCGACGCGTTTCAGAAAGGCGGGGCATAGAGGAGAAACAATAATGTACAGTATGTGGAAAATAATGTGTTTTTTTAAACTTAAACCGCATAAACACATTTCATTACACCAAATACACAAAATAATGTTCTTTTTAGCAGCATCATATGACCCCTTTAATGAAGCCTTTTAGTCTTTCTGAGGGGGCGGGTAAAACTGAAAAGATAGGGAAACACTGGCATTGAATTGAGGATGCTGCCCTCTTGTGGTAGTGTGATGTCCTTGTTTTGTGGGTTCCCACCTCTCAGTCTCATGCATTGCATTACAGCATGGTAACATGCTAACAGTAGTGATAGCCATTTAAAGAGCCTCACAGAGATGATGTGTCCCTTCAGTCCATGGGCCGAGTCAGCACACTCGATAACAGCGCTCAGCTGAGGATATCCCACACCGGTCTTAATGCGTGTGGTGCATACAGAACCTGAAGTTCACATTGTTTTCAAATCAACGTGCTCCAGATTAAGTAATATGTAATTTCATTTAAAAGATGATTGTCTACTATGAATATGTATTACAGTGTTGGGAAATCTAATGTGATACCTGGCCCAATGCCCACTTTAATGATATCAGCTCCAGACAGAATGAGTTCCTCCACCATCTCCCCTGTCACCACATTTCCCGCCTAAATGATCAAAATGTGTTATATGATATTTTTACTTCAAAAAACACAAAATAAATTAATATTTTTTGTCTGCTGTTGATATGACATTTTTTATATTATGTTTGGGCAAAAATCTCACCATGATGGTGTGCTTTGGAAACCTTTCCCGAACTCTTTTTACAAACTCCACAAAGTGTTCAGAGTAGCCATTGGCCACGTCCAGGCAGATGTACTGGATGAGAGGAATGGCCTCCAGGATGCTGCACAGTTTCTCCAGATCCGCCGCTCCACTGCCCGAGCTGGCCGCCACATGCTGAGGATGAGAGGAAAGATGGCGTCTGTCATTCACCACATGAAAATTATGAATTAGCTGTCTAGAAAGCTTTTGTATGCTTTATATAACTCAGGTTGCATTGCCTAATTTGCTGTCATTTTGTTGTGATAAAAAATTGGTATGTAGGGGAGACCGGGGGCAATTTTAACACTCAATTCCTCCAATAAGAAACCAGCTATAGTGATGACACTTAATCTGCACATGCTCAGTAGGATTCTCTCTTTGCCTGTCAAAAAGGAGCACCACAATCATTTAATCTCAGCAGAAGTTTTTAACAAAATACTGATTTTGAAGTATGAAAGTTACTTTTTGGATGTCTAGTATTTTTGGATGTACAGTATTCTGCTGTCTAAAGTTTAGATGACTGCAAATTTAAACTCAGGTTTCAACCATGTTTTAACCAAATCATAGATCGTCTGATTCGGTCTGATATCCTACATTATATATATTTTATCTGTAGGTTATTGAAAAATATCATGAACAACCTAATATCAGGGGCAATTGTAACTTTGCGTTACAATTGCCCCCTAGCCACATGGCCCAGTGTACGCAACTAGTTTGTCTGTGTCTGTTAGAAAATGAACATATTTAAATGTAAAACTACATTTAAAAATTATTAGTATTAAACATTAAAAAAATTTGTTGCTTTTAAAGCATTTAAAAAATAAATGAATATTATATCCACATGATCCAGTAATTCTGTTAATATGTCTATCTTGTACCATTTCATTAAAGTTTGATTAAAGACTGTTATTGACTCATGAGCTGATTAATGTATTTGAGTAAAATATATTTAAAATATATTTTTTTATTATTATATACAGTATATATATATATTAAAATTATTAAAATATATTTTTAAATAATTAAAATCTAGTTACACTAGAATAGTTGTCTAGTCTTCTGCAAAAATAGAAATAGACTTTTACTTTTTAAATGCATATGATGCCTGACATCTAAAAGAATTTCAACCATAAACAAAAAAAAAAAAATCTTAAGTAACATTATTAGATACTATAGCAGTAAAGTGATTACTTTGAGGTTGGCTTTTATTTGAGATACAGTGGGTTAATATGGCTGAGTTTTCAGAGTTACAATTGCCCACAAACACTGTTACAATCGCCCCACCGGTTTCCCCTATCAAATGCGTGTTAGTCTGTTGAAAGGCTATTACAGACATAATTTATTCGGTGTGACAGTTGCTCTGGTGTTGCTCTGGCTGGTTGCTGCTATGGCATTGCTATGGTGTTTTGGATAATAGCTGGGTGGGATGCTAGGCCTTGCTGGGATGTTTTATCTGATATAAGACCAGGTTAAAGGGGTAAAAAAAAAAACAATAGTAATAAATAATATATACAAATAAAATTAATAATACTAATATTAATTATATAAATATACTAACATGCTAATTAATTAAAATAAACCATCATTAAAAAGGTTATTTATAACACCATTAAGGTTCTATATAGAACTTTCAAAGCATGGTTCTTTATGGAACCCTATAAAAAGGGTTCTATGTAGCACCAAAAAGGGTTCTGCTATTGTTACAAGCTGAAGAACCCTTTTTTTGGTACTGTCTAGAACCATTTTTCTTAAGAGTGTATGGCATTGGTAGTAGGCAGTTGCTAGAGTGTTTAATGTGGTTTGATGTTGCTATATGGTTTCTAGATGGACTGTACTGCTTAATTAAACAGCTTTTGATTAAGAAAGGCAAGAAAGTCATTTTTGCCTCAAGGCACTCTGGAAACAGTAGTGATAGCCATTTAAAGAGCCTCACAGAGATGATGTGTCCCTTCAGTCCATGGGCCGAGTCAGCACACTCGATAACAGCGCTCAGCTGAGGATAACCCACCCCGGTCTTAATGCGTGTGGTGCACACAGAACCTGAAGATCACAGTGTTTTTAAACATCATAAACAAGCTCCAGATTTAGTAATATGTAATTTAATTTAAAAAACAATTGTATTTAATGCATATGTGTGACAGTGTAGGCAAATCTAATCTGATACCTGGCCCAATGCCCACTTTAATAATATCAGCTCCAGACAGAATGAGTTCCTCCACCATCTCCCCCGTCACCACATTTCCCGCCTAAATGACCAAGATTGTCTTATATGGCATTTGTAGGTCACACAAAATAAATATTAGGCATTTGTTACGTTTTGTTTGGTCAAAAATCTCACCATGATGGTGTGCTTTGGAAACCTTTCCCGAACTCTTTTTACAAACTCCACAAAGTGTTCAGAGTAGCCATTGGCCACGTCCAGGCAGATGTACTGGATGAGAGGAATGGCCTCCAGGATGCTGCACAGTTTCTCCAGATCCGCCGCTCCACTGCCCGAGCTGGCCGCCACATGCTGAGGATGAGAGGAAAGATGCTTTAGGCTTCAGTGATTCAAATGAGCTGTCTATAAAGCTTTTGTATGATTTATATTACTCCAGTTGCATTGCATAATTTGCTGTCATTCTATTCTGATCAAAAAGGCATTTTAAATGGGAAAATCAAGTGGTGTGTTTGTATTAAATGTATGTTAATCATGGTACTCTCGATAATGGCGGAAGACTGTCCTGAAAGAGAACATGTCACATGGACTATTTTAACAATGTCCTTACTACCTTTCTGGGCCTTGAATGTGTCAGTTCTGACTCTGCATAGACTCTGCTGTCTATGCAGAGTCAGAAAGCTCTCGGATTTCATCAAAAATATCTTAATTTGTGTTCCTAAGATGAACGAATGTCTTATGGTTTAGGAACGACATGAGGGTGAGTAATTAATGACAGAATTTTCATTTTTGGGTGCACTATCCCTTTAATGTGATTGCTGTGGCATTGCTAGGCAGTTGCTAGAGTGGCTAGTTCTGTGTGGTTTATAATATGTTGTTGCTATGTGGTTTTTTGATGGACTGTACCACTTAATTAAACAGCTTTTGATTAAGAAAGGTCATTTTTGCCTTTTCACCTCAAGGCACTCTGGATGACTGGCTGCAAAAGTCTTCCACTCTTCCAAGGAGTAGTGCTTCTGGATGGCTGTGAAGAGAGTGTGCTGAAAGACAGAGCAGAGAGACGTCTGAGAGGGCAGCGAGTGTCTGGCACTGAGACAGACAGAAATATAAGAGCCTCTTGATCCCAGTGCATGGAAACAGGACACAGCTAATTATGTTTCAGTGAGATCTTGATAATCACAGAGATAAAACATAGTAAAACAAGACTTTCCCTGGATTATATTGCAAAGATACAGGTACTGTGTTTCATCAGTTACTGTGCTTTGTTTAAAGAAGCACTCACCTTGCTGAGCACCTGTGCCATCTCAAAAGTGCCGGTGGTGTCCATGTTAGCAGCGATGATCGGGATGCCATTGTACGTCTGCTTTGAGTTCCGGAATGTGAAGGTCCTCTGCAGGTCAACCTTCAAGAATGAAACATGTAGAGGAAATAACTTTCCAAACATACAAACAGTACATGTGACAGTCTGAAAAGCCTCATTTTATTGGATAGGCCCATAATCAACCCAAACATCCTGTCCTATTCTCCTGTCCCTGTAACCCATTCAAACATGCACTCAAATATATTGCCACTAAAATTAAAATATATTTAGACCCATCTAACTGACCCATATCCACTGTAACAACTGAACGGAGGTCATTCTCCATGTCTCGCAGATGTTAAATACAATTTTCCTAGGCAATAACAAATATTTTTATGTTTAAGCATCTGATATAACAATATGCGGAAACAATTTGTAGAAGAATTTCAATTTAATGCTTTAGAAACAATAGTAATATGCTATTATACACACACACACACAACACACACACACACACACACATATATATATATATATATATATATATATTATTTACTTTTTTTTCTTTTTCTGAATCATCCAAAAAATTTTTCAATAGCTTGAGTGACTTGACAATTGTCTGTATACCACTCAGAATTACCTTAGTGCAGAAATGCGGACATGCAGATAAATATTAAGATTCAGATAAGGGATCCTATTATGCACATTTTACAAGATTTAGCTCTAAGGTGTCCTCAGCATATGTCTGTGATGCCGTGTCCCGGCGCGATGAGACAAAACCAATAAAACCCATTATAAACGAGGCATTTGTTGCATCCAGTGGGGACAGTAATTATGGGGACATAATTACTGATTAATTACTTATACTGTCTTCTTACGCGTTGCGTTGCATCGCGCCACGTAAACATAAAACCATGTCTGCATTTGTGATCGGAGAAACGACAAACAACAAGCGCTACTCTACACTACTCAAAACTCGCGTTTGAATCATCAGTGGCAAATCCTTTAAATATGAAAACATACTTACAGGCTGTGAGTCAGCATTATTTGTCAGAACAC